GTACTTTGCCTCATGCCCCATAGGGTAGAAAGAGGATTTTACCTTATATATAAATATAATAACTTTTCTAGAATGATTATACGAACAAGAAGTAAATTGTATAAAACTATAATTCTATTGGCTTTTTTAAAACCTCAAATTACTCATTAATTAACATTAGCTCAGTGTTTTAAATACTGAGCCAATTAAATATAGAGTATTGAATTCGTTGACAAAATTTGTTCTTTTATCGTACAAAGAATGCTTCATTTCGTCTAATGATTTATTGTTGAATATAGAATTTAAAATCTGTTCATAAATATAACAATAATGCCATTCGCCTGAAGCCTTTCAAAGTCTCATAGGGTTTTTACGTATGTCTTGGTATCAAACATCAAAGATAATAATAAAGAAAGACAGAAAAAAAATTATAAACGCGTTAAAATTAATCTTCAACATCGGTTTAAATTAGTTTCTAATAGAATAAACAAAAGCATTCACGATCCATGTGATGTACCATGCAAGTTAGCAGCAGTATAACCAACGGTTCTACAAATCGAACAACTGTTTTCCGTCATTATCTTATCTATCTCCAATCCTTTTGCAAATACACTTAGCACTTAGCGTAGAGCAACAGAATGTTCGTTTATTATAATTTTAATTTATACCAATATATAAAGCTTAAGAGTTTGTTTGTTTAATAAAACACTTTAACGGTTTAAAACGCGATATATTAGTTAAAAATGATTGATGAGATGATGATGATGAGTTAGTTGAAAATGATTTTTAACTTCGGCCCAACGTTTCGGATGCTTTGCAGCAGCCGAAGGCCGAAGTTAAAAATCATTTTCAAAAAGTTTAACTAATATATCGCGTTTTAAACCGTTAAAGTGTTTTATTTAAATGTGTACTACTCGCGTAAACTATAGACAGTATTTAGTTTGTTTGTTTATCGCACTAATCTCAGGAACTGCTGGTGAGAATTGCAAAATTGTTCTTGTGTTGAATAGCGCGTGCATTTATCGAGGAAGGTATAGGCTATAAAACATTTCGCTTCGACTAATAAGAGCGAGGAAACAGTGGGAAATGGGGATAATTATCCATCGTTGTGGTCTTTCGTGGTGTAAGCTGCGAAAACGGTACAAAATACCCAAAAAATATGTATGAAGAGATGATTCCTCTTTAAAGGATCTAGAAATATATCCGGAGCTAAATGTCTATCTTTTAAAATTAACTTGCAAGAACGACGAGAAGCACCGACGTCGTGGGAAACAGTTTAAATTTATAAAGATAAAGGGAAGTTTGCAAAAATAAATTAAGATGCCCATAGTAACTATTTAACGCGGACGAAGTCGCTGACACAGCTAGTGCTAATATGAAGCTGAAGAGTTCGTTTTTTTCCAATTGAAAAATTATTTTTTCATGACCTCATCGATCATGCAAATTTATATTTAAAATACATTATGTCTAGTACATATGAAACTTCAGCTTAGAACCAGTGAGAGGTATTATAGCTTAGTTACACATTTAGCAGACTAGCGCTATCATCGAAACTTAGTATTCGTAATTATAGCTGAACGAAATTGTTTATTTCGTAAACAAAAGCAACGCGAGTTGTTCATTAAGCTCTGTCAGCTCAGCGGTAATATCTTTTGTTGAACATACGTTTAACATACTAGCTGTGTCAGTGACTTCGTCCGCGTAGAACAGTTATTTTGGGCAGCCAAATTTGTTTTTGCAGACCTCCTTATCCTTATACATTTTTGTTATATACTAATAGTAAACTAATGATATTTAAATATTAGTTAATAGTCAGTTCTAAGTCACAGTTTAATTGAATTGTATATTTCTTTGTTACTTTTTAAGTTCATTGTTGAATTGGGCTCCCACTTGTCGTGACATTGTAATTTTTATGATTAAATAAATAAATGTTACTCACGACGTCAGTCGCGTCCCGTCGTTCTTGCAAGTTAATCATAAAAGATAGACATATCGTGTCGTTGATATTGATATTAATTCTTTAAAGAAGGTATCATTCTTTCATAAATATTTTTTGGCTATCTTAAACCGTTTTCGCAGCGTACGATTTGAAATCCACAAAGATTAGAGTAATTTTCTCCGTGTTTTTTCACATTCCCCGCTGTTTCTTCCCTCCTATTAGTCAGATCGCGATGTGCCTTACATTCTCTCTGCCTTACATGCTCTAACCAACACAAAAAGTTTTTTCAACTCGAATCAGTGAATACTGCCTATAGTTTACGCGAATAGTACACATTTATATAAAACACTTTAACGGTTTAAAACGCGATAAATTAGTTAAAAATCATTGTCAAATAAGTTTAACTAATATATCGCGGTTTAATCTGTTAGTGTTTTATTTAAAAATTGTCTGAACATTTTCACTTTTCTTTAAAAGTATTTTATTTCTTTAGGTATTCACTAGTATTATAAAAAACTAAGTTTTTTTTCCTACCAGTATAGCTTATGCGATAAAGGTAAGAGTTCCATAGATAAAATGTATACGTAATAAAAATATATTCTACTTTATGGCAGAGAAATATCATTCAAATAAATCTTGAACAGTAAACATCATATTTCAATTTTAAACGCATCAAGATATTATACACTCACAGTAAGAAGCTCTTAGGATTACTTAAAAATACATTTTGATGATGCCTGTTTAAATACGGAGAAACCTTTTAACCAAACAGTATCTAAAATATATTTTTCTTAGTTTAAGAAATGTCTTATTCGAATAACTAAGACGAGTTCCATTTTCTTAATACACTACTTTGTATTTATATATTATACTGGCCGTTTCAGCGACTTCGTCCGCGTAGAAAATTTATTTTGGGCATCCAAATTTATTATTGCAAACAATTTATTTTTCTACATCTTTATAAATTTCATCTGTCCACGATATCGTCATGCGCATGCGACTCGTCGTTCGGGTCCCGTCTTTCTTGCAAGTTAATCTTAAAATATAGATATATAATGTCCCGGACATTTTTTTAGATCATTTAAAGTTCCTCATTCTCTACTACCTATTCTTTGGGTGTTTTGAACCGTTTTCGCAGCGTACGCATCTTAAACTAACAGAGATTAAAAATATCCCTCGTTTTGATCACATTTCCCGCTCTATCTTCGCTTCTATTAGCGCGATATTATAGCCTATTATTATAGCCTTCCTCGATAAATTTTCTAACCAACACAAAAAGAAATTCAATTCGTAGTTCTTTATATATTAGTAGAGATTATGATTATTTTATTATGCTAGGAAACGGCAGGTTGGCCCATTGGTGTAATGATAGCAAGGCATATAGCTACGATAAGTCGTGAATTCGATATCCACCCTGTTCCATATGTTTTAAAATCGGTGCTTAATTTTTTGAAACATACTTTGTCTGAATATAATTGGGTGGTAGAAAGTCGAAATTCTGTCACAATCACAAACCACCACAGTTGGAAGAAGTGTAATCACGGTAAATCAATTTCGGTTTTAGTCTGTAGATTTCTAAATATCAAAGTCAAGCCAAAGTATTGTATAAAATACCTTTAGGTAAGGAGGGTACTTTATACTTTTTTATTTGTATAAAGAAAAACCGCCATTTTATAATTCTTAATATAAAATTTTAAAACAAATTGTGACGCAGTATAAAACAAAATCCATGTTATTCTCCTTTTTCATGGAGCTTGTCTTACATATAAGTTAAAATAAAACTATGGTTATAATTTGTATTTAAACATACTTCTATATTATGTACCAGTAATAAATAAAGGTTTATTCGGCCCATTAAGGAAAGCTCCACAATTGCTTTTGTCGGAAAGAGTATTTCCAAGCACCGTTCTCTTAGACGGTGAAGTGACGAGCCCGTTTTCCGTAAAATTAATTAAATGAAATGCAAAACATTACTCTCCGAGAATTGCAGTGACGTGCTAATCCCGGGGTTTCCTGTACCCCGGGAGGGACGCAATTGCTAATACGTGCTCAAGGTAAGATAAAGGACGGCCGCATTAAAGTCACTTGTCAGTATTAGACACGTTGTTGTAGATATTTTAAATATTTTTGAGTTTTGTAAGTTTTGATTTCGTTGAAATAAATCAGCACTTTTCTTATAATAAATATATATAGCGCGAGAGTAGAAATTTTCTAAAAATGTCAAAACAAGCCGCTTCTGTCTAATATCTTTTTTTCTAACAGCCAACATTTTAATGAAAATGTTTACTAATTATACGAGTAATTGTAAACACAAAATTGTTTCACTAGCCCGTTTGATTAAGGTCACTAATATTATTATAATAGTGTATTAATTAGATCTAATGTAATTATTACCAATTTGGTTTCCCCGGAAAATTAACTCCGGGATGTTAAAAATACAAATATAGATTTCTTTATCGTCGAAAAAAAGCATTTTTTTGGTTTAGCTCTTCTCAAGGATATCTATAGGATCTACCGGTGTATTAAACAAAAATTGCTTACACACAAATTTCACAAGCTAAGTAAACAGTAGAAAGACACAATAATATAGCTGAGAATATTTGGCAATCAAATCAAAGATGCATTTACATCATCGATTGATAATAAGAACTTTCTGTTTAATACCGTTGCGTTGCGTTCAATTGATCAATTTAACGCAATCCTAGCTAACGCGCTTAACCTTAATGCTATGTAAGACTATGATATATATGAAGGCGCATCCGCTAATGTCAGACGTCAGGTTGACTTTTAGCCGTCAAAAGTCAGCCTAGCGAAGCGTCATTGTCGATGGTTGCGGGGCCGGCCATCAGAGTTACGTTCGAGATGGCGCCCACGTACCACGCTCGTGACGAATCGCTTTGCATCTGAGTAATAATTAAACCTAGTGTTCTAATTGAATTGATTTCGCGTTAATTAGACTGTACATCGTTGATTTGACTGTATATTTCAATTATTAAACCCTATGCTGATTAAACCACTGTGATTATAACAAGGACCTTACTTACGGCCTACTAGATTTCCTACCCAAACAAGATGAGTTCTGATGAAGGCCCTCCTGCCCCTACATCAGAAGTGGGATTCGAATGGGGCTAGAATTGAGCAAGAAACACCAAAATCGGATGCAGAAAAATTGTTGAATAACGTGCAATGCTTTTATCGTAGCCCAGCCGACGCCATCAGTGAGTACTAACCAAGCTACACATTTCTTGCCGTTTGATCCAGATGAACGACTGTGACTGTGGTTGGTGTAAGATTACCGAAGAATCGTTCTAAAAGCGCTTAGACGGAATAGACCTGCTCATGGCTCTTAGACCTCCTTAAAAGGACGCGCGGCTGCCTTATCACTAACTAAACTAGATGAAATGTCCTGGGGCGTTGTCAAACAGACAGTATTAGCCAAATTTTCAAAACCAAAGCTTCTTCAAGACTATTTCGATGAGATATTGCGATTCCAAATAGGAGTTAAGGAGACAGCTTCAGAAGCAGCCCTTCGTTTATGGAACCTAATCGAACGAATACCTAAGACTGTCATGCCCGAAGAAGTGGTGACTGGATTCGTTATCTTTGTGCTCTGTCAGAAGGACAACTTGATACGACGCGAATTGATTGCGCACAATATCACAACTCGCACTCAATTGTTCCGGATCCTGGGAGGTGTATCGCTTAAGCGGCGTTCAGACGGTGTCGAAGCTAACGAACCTGAGGCGAAGCGTTTTCGTGCTACCGAAGGGTTCACGGGCAGATGCAACTTTTGTGGAATATCGGGACTGTCTTGCGGAATGCCGAAAAGTCGTTGCGCTGGTATCAGTCGAGCCTCGAGACCTCCGAGTACTTCCCGTCCTTGGAGAAAATGACCAATGTAACCTGCTACCTGTGGACAGAAGGGGAGATGTGAACTACTGTCCCGATAAAAAGAACAAGCAATCTGCGGCAAGGAGGTTCTTCTGCGACCACCGCCCCTCTAGGGGTACTTTGAAGACATCATCCGGTAGCCTGTTCCTTTCGATAGTGGATCGTCATTTCACGTTTAAAGGAAAGTTTTTGCGATAATCTCTTGGGTTACGCACAATGCGTAAAGATTGTCTATCTTAGTGGTATAGGGGGTGTATATGACTTCAATGCACTACACAATTCAGAGCGAAGTTAAGACCGGGAACGTTTAGTATTACTATTTCATGTTGTCCCCGATTGTAATATATAGATCCTTTAATAATTGGTAGAGATATTTTTGATTTAGGACTATCGTGAAAATTGATTATGATAACTAGTAATATACACAAAGAGCAATCTCAATTTTGTAGTAGGACCTAGATTCATCAGATTTAAATCATATCGACACAGATCCCTCGTAAAAGGTTGACAAAATGTGTCATCTGAGTCATTATCCCATTGACTTTCACAATGGTATTCATCTGACGAAATTTGTCGTCCAAGCAGGAGCTACTTGTCCAGGATCGTTTGCTATTGTGAGACGAATTGTGTCGTCCGGGTCACATCCATTAGGACTGACCTGTTTAATTGTTTACAAGGACATAAACGTGTTATCGTGGCAAATGTAGCCCTGAATTGGTACCAAACACACTGTCGACTAGTTTTACTAAAGTGTCACACCTTACGGTTGGCTAAGTGACACTTCCTGGTTAATCCAAGTCAATAATGATTTTAGTGTTTATGTGCCGTTCAGAAGTATGGTTTCCGTTGTTTAGCCTGGGCCTGTAGCAAAAGTGACATCCGGGCCATACACACGTTGTGCATTGGCAGGAAGGATTCACAAGTGCCGTCCAGAGGTTTGCTTCTTGTTTATCCTGGTGAAATTGGTGTTGTCCGGGCCAGACTCAAACAAGTTGTTGTTGAAGGGATGCACCAGTTTCCTCTAGAAGTTGATCGATAATGTTGGTTGAAGAGATACACCACTTCCAAAGAAGTTGGTTGATAACGTTGGTTAAACTGTGTCATACAGTTAGAAACTTTAGCGGTCGTCAGAGCTGTAGCTTTTCGCCTATTTATGGTAAGCATTAACGAAATCAACATTTAGGCAGGGACTATCGGTTTGATCGAAATACCTACTAGTCTTTTAAATCGTGAAGAGGCCGAGACGGCGTTGGAAGTGAAAGTAATTAAATCATACAATGATAACTCTGACACCTGACCGTATGCTCAAACACTGCTTCCGCCAATTCGAGAATACAGCAGGCTCAGACACTCTCAGTCATGCAATTCTGAGACTTGGGAAATATTGCACGAAACCGATTCATACAGAACGGGATATTCGTAGTCCTAGGTAAGTGGAAACGACCTTTAAGAACCTAGTTCCTGCTGAATAGTCAGACAAAACACGTTGTCCGAGTCAGTATCAGATTGACTTGTCTCTGTGCTAATGTTTTATGAGACGAAAACTGTCGTCCAAGTAGAGCCCTTTAAGTTGGCTGACTTGTTCTGGATGTTTTGCTGATTGTTGTAAGACGAAATATGTCGTCCAAGTAGAGCTTAAGTTGGCTGACTTGTTTTGATGTTTTGCTGATTGTGGTAAGACAAAATTCGTCCGGGCCACATCCACCAAAGGATTGACCTTCAATAGTCGTGAACAGTTAGACCTACTCTGTTTAGTGACGGGGCGAGGTCATACGACTTAATTGTTACGAGAACTTGCCCTAAGTCTAAGTATCATAGCGCATCGTGACCATGTAATTTGTTGTCCGTCAGGATGCCGAACGGACTAGGTACGACTGCAGTTCATTGTCAGAATCGCCCGAGGACGGTCGAGTGTCAGTCCGGCCGTGAAGCGCATCCGCTAATGTCAGAGTCAGGTTGACTTTTACCGTCAAAAGTCAGCCTAGCGAAGCGTCATTGTCGATGGTTGCGGGGCGGCCATCTAGAGTTACGTTCGAGATGGCGCCCACGTACCCTCTACGAATCGCTTTGCATCTGAGTAATAATTAAACTAGTGTTCTAATTGAATTGATTTCGCGTTAATTAGACTGTACTCGTTGATTTGACTGTTATTTCAATTATTAAACCCTATGCTGATTAAACCATGATTATAACAAGGAGCTACACCGGCCTACTAGATTTCCTACCCAAAAAGATGAGTTCTGATGAAGGCCCTCCTCCCTACATATAATATAATATATATAAGAATGTATTAATTCGAATAAATCAAACATCGACGTTAACATTTAGGGCAAAACGGTTATTCGCATAACTAATTTGAGCTATCAATGGAATTAGGGATTCATCAATCTAAGCGCAAAATTTAGTCTTCTGCAGTCGACAAGTGAGTGACACCGACCCAACTAAAATACTCTTGGACGACCTAAGGGCCACCGGCCACTGGCACGAAACAACGCTTATATTTTTTGACCAGTCCATATAAAATACATGCAAACTTCAAGAAAAATAAAAGTAATAATTATTCATTGGCAACTAGACTCCACTCACCCATAGATTTAATATGTATACAACAAACATCAACATGGGAAAATATGTATTCTCATTTCGTTCATTCGTTTCGTTTCATCTTTCGTCTCATAATTGGATCCAAAGTAGGTCGATAATGCATCTCTAATAGATGGTTTACGTTTTTACCTCATATATATTGAACCCCGTGCTTACCTTATGCTACAAAAAAACATGTATGTGCAATGTTTTCTTTCCTTCTTTTTTAATATCTGTACCGGTGATGACGGCAGGTGTGCGGCGTGGCTAAATCATCCCACGGGATACGCAATTTTTCTTCCTTCTAGCATATTAAATTTACAGAGCACTTCAAAGAATAATCTGACCTTATTATGGTATCTTAAGTGAATTTTATGGCTCTCATTTTGAGATTTAATATTAATTCACGGCTTTGTATCTACATTTTTAAGTGTGAAATATGATTTGGTGTTATAAGGGAAAATGGGTGTAAGAATATTTTAAAAAGAATAAATGAATTAGATTTAGTATTTAAATAAAACACTTGAACGGTTTAAAACGCGATATATTAGTTAAACTTATTTAAAAATGATTTTTAACTTCGGCCTGACGTTTCGGATGCTTTGCAGCAGCCGTGGTCACGGGGAGATGTAGATATTATGTAGATGTAGGATAGGCCACAATCACAATCCAGTCTGTAAACGCCTGCATCTTGTAAAGGGATAGTACACTTGTTTGGTTTCAGGAATTGCTGAATCTTCTTGTGCGGCTTGAAAATTGTGTCAATAGAATTCTATCTGTAACTCCCTTCACATATGGTAGGTAGGCGGGCTGACGTTTGACTGTGGGTGGCTTGTTCCTGTTCCTGGTATGCTGCGGAGGGACTCTCAGCTTGTTCTTGCATAGGTCCTGCTTGACATGCTGTAACTCCTCATTTAAGTGGGCAGCAAAGCAGAAACAAAGATACTCCGACAAAACTAAGTTGGCTAGGGTGGTGATGTGAGTCACCGTTCAAATACCTATCCGTATGGGTTGTTTTTCTATTACCTTGATATTACCGTGTTCGTCACGAATTACTAAAATGTCTAAGAAAGGTAGTGTGTTATTGTCCTCCTGTTCCATTGTAAACTTAACACGAGACGGCTGTATAGACCTAATTTGGTTTTGGATATTCTGAGTACGTGTTGTAAAAACAAAAGATCGGTAAACGGGAAACAAATATGTTTACGCCAAGCCCCATATCGAAAACTGGATTTGACTTGTAAAACCTGTAAGATATAGCATGGAGAAATGTTTACAATGGAAAATCCACCTGAGAGTTTTAGTGAGAAGATTTGATATTAGTGACATTTTTAACGAATTTAAGTGACGTCGAGTAATGCCATCGCATCTCTCACGCGACGCCCCACAAACGGTGCGGGCCCCACGCCCATAAATCATTTAGGGGAGAATTCCCAACATATCCATACGAACTTTTATAAACTTGATGGATTACACCGATATTGAACTCATGCAATATTCCTTTTCAACAATTTGTATGAGTGTAATTTTATCGGATGTACGACTAACGAACTGCGGATGAGTTTATTTCGCTTTTTAGACTTTCTGTATCGATAATACTTTAATAACTCGGCCTGAATTAATTCACGAACATGTGAATTATAGTATTACAAGCTATTGAAAAGATATAATGTTTCAATGTAAATTTTTTATAGTAAAAAGAAGATTACTGTATCTACGAAGCAGCTTACCGTCATTGTACCGAGTTAGATGTCGTACCATTTCCTATGCGTTTTTCTCTGAAAATTGTAAGTCAAAAGTTTAACACGCATGGTGTTCATGATTCATTCTTGATGGGAGGTATACCAAACTTAATAGGAACTAAAGAAGATGAGCCGTGCGTGCCGAGCTCAAGCAAAGTGCGAATGAACTTTACAGCTTTTTCATCGATGGACCGTGGTGGACTCGAAGAGAAACTTTATATAAATAAATATTTCTACTACCCATTCAAATCCAGATTTTAGAAACGAAGCTCAACATGTCTTAGAAAATCACGATCCGTTATAAATTAAATGCGATTAGATTCGAGAATATGAATTTTGAACGAATCTGTTAATTACATGTTCCACCAGCGTAACGAAATATAAACTCACTTTTAAAACACAATTTAAATCCTTTTCAAGCACGCCACAGTGAAATACTTATATTATTAAAAACTTATTTCCCCTGACTTTGAAGCTGAAGCTTCATTTTATTAATCTTTACCCTCAGAAATAATTCACTCGGAAAGTTTGATGAAAAGAAAATTTTAATAACTAAAAATAACTGAACGATACACGATACTTCGCTAATCTCCGACTGAACGAATGAATTTGAGATTTAATTTAAATATATATTAATATATAAAGCTGAGGAGTTAGTTTGTTTCGACGCGCTAATTTCTGGATGTACTCGTTCGTTCTTTTTGTTTTGATTAGAACACTTATTGAGCAAGACTATAGGCTATAAAACGCCTTGTGACAAATAGGGTAAAGAAACAGCGGGAAATTTGAACAAATGGGGAACATTATTCATTTTTGTGGGTTTTCGATGTGTACGCTGTAAAACGGTTTAAAAATATTCATGAAAGAATAATTCATCTTTAAATATTCTAAATAAATGTCCGCAACATTATATGTCTATCTTTTTAAATTACTTTGCAGGAACGACGCGATGTGATCGACATCGTGGTTAACAGCTTACATTTAATTTAGGAGGTTTGCAAAAACAAATTTTGATGAAATACTGTCTATAGTTCACGCGAGTAGTACACATTTAAATAAAACACTTTAACGGTTTAAAACGCGATTATTAAACTTATTTGAAAATAGGAGACCGTCTCCCCGTGACCACGGCTGCTGCAAAGCATCCGAAACGTCGGGCCGAAGTTAAAAACCATTTTCAAATAAGTTTAACTAATATATCGCGTTTTAAACCGTTAAAGTGTTTTATTTAAATATCAAATTTTGATGAACAACATAACAATTCTACGCGGACGAAGTCACAGACACAGCTAGTCACTTATAGGAATTATAGTTAGTTTTATTTTATTCGTGCTGTTATTCTCAACTCTTGACTTGACCTCAATCGAAGTTTTCAATTACGCCTCATCTAATTCATTTTTGTCCCGGCTTCATTCGTTTAATATTGTTCAGTATTCGCTCTAGATTTTTCCGAACGGCAACAAAGGGTGTATAAAAGATTTACTAACACTAAAGTTTTCGCGTTTTTCTAGCTATTTACTCACAATAAACGAAGCGGATATGTACTTAGCAGTTAGCAGCGATTTTCGTTAAAGGTAGAGTTAAAAGAGAAAAGATTCTAAGCAAGACTTATTGTGTTTGTTTGATAGTTTATTTAAATTGTTTGACAGTTTAAAGAAAATAATGACACATTTAAATTGGCTTTTAACATTTTAAAACACTAAATGTTTTAGTT